GGCACACGACTGGTGAACTTCAGGCACCTGTAGCTTCAGGTTTTAACTGAATGTCCAAAAATTAAAAGAGAACCGAATCGTAAAGGAAAGACAACATGTGCAGAAAGTTTTGTAATGAACAAAAGAGTATTTCAGCGATATATCCCACGCAAGTACCTCCGAGAAGCAGCGGAAACACTGAAAGCTCAGAGTAGTTTTCTCGAGGTTGCACAGTGCTCCGCTGAGCTGAAATGGAACTACCGCCCTCCACACCACAAAAGCCAAAGGCTTTCAATCTGCCCTTTATACTTGGATGAATAATTCATTGCGGGCTTGGCCAGCCCCAACAGCTCCCTCCCCTCCATGCAAGCCAGGGCTGGAGAGTCAACACAAGCTGGTCTCTGTACGGCTACAGAGATCGTGACTGTGCAGCGAGCGTGCCATCACACCAGACTGGTTCAGATGGGCCCAGTGACAGGAGAACCAAGGCACAGGAAACCTCCCGGAAAGCACAATACCTTGAATTTAGCCAGCACTACAATAACAGCGCAGCATTGCTCACCATCAGGAACGCTGCTCCAGACCTAGCTGCAGGGCAGGCATCAATATTAGCCTAGTGCCTTGAAACATGTGGGAAGAAGCACATGGTGGTGGAAGTTGTAATGGACACCACTATCTCTTGGGATTTGTTTCCAAACTACAGCACCATGGACACTAGAAGAAACTATGGGTTTTGTAATGGAAAAAAAAAAATAAAACCAAAGAAAACAGCATGTGTCTCACCAGTCAGGAAAAGGAATTGAAACCCCAAGGAATATAAAGTCCTTTTTTCCATGGAAGTTGAAAAGAAAACAAGACAAATCATGACAAAGGGAGGAATCAGAATTCAGCAAAGTTCTAGAAGATACATCAACTATAGGATGCTCAATGGCACACCAACTCAGCTGGGTGAGCCACATTGATCACTTTTAAACTATGAATAAAGAGTTTGCATTTAGAAGCCATTAATTACATTTTCAATGTGTAATTTCCTGTATGAGTAAACTCAAATAATGTTTATAGCAGAAGAGCTACTGACAAAACTGTGAAGAGGATGCAAGATAAAGAGCATGTCACACTTCCAGTGCATCTAAAATAACTGCTTCTTACAAGCAAATCCACTTCAGATTAGAGGAAGATCTATTTCACACAGTACAGATTGAGAAGAGGATAAATTGCTTCCAGTCCTCGGATTTGCTTCTAAGGACGCTTATCGACTTTAAATGTATTCTTTTTCCAAAATTAAGTTACCATTTTAACAAAATAACTCTTTCTCTCTTAGCCTAAACCAAACTTTGCAGCCCCCATAGCCTCATGCAACTGACTTCATCCTTCATTTCTGACACTTGGATACAAAAGACAAAGAGGGCAGTGACACTGATCACTTAATTCTGATGGTTTACCAGTAACACTTTGCTTAGACAATGTTATTTGTCTAGGACAGACAGCATGTAATTCCATTAGATCCGGCATCTAACTCCCTGGTCCTGATCAAAGCTTTCAACACTACCTAGAAAATTAGGCTACCAACATCGTGAGCTCTCCTACACTCGCTGAGCTTGGTTTATGTGAGTCATTTCTGCCAGCTCTGAGGCACTACCTGTATTTAACTGCTTCCTCCCCTTTGGGCAGCCACAGCTCTGGAATGTACCAAGAATCATGTGCTCGGTGGGCACTGAGGTCTCATCTGCAGTAGCAAACGGCAAAAATGTCCCAGGCAACGGACCTACAAATTCCTCCCGCAGGTATGCATTGCTGCTAAATTCAAAGGCATAGAAGCACAAGGTTCTCCAAACCTCAGCCAGCTGTGGGTGGTTGAGAGAATGGTCCAAGACAGACAGAAGTTGCACCTTATTCTCTGTGTCTTTACTCACAGAAGATTCATCAATCTTCATTTTAAGAGCATGCACGCACAGCATGCAGCCACTTCTCAGACAGCATGAGACTACCATTTACATTGGCAGTCCCTTTGCTCCAAACCCTGTAATTTTGTGATTCAGCGAGTTACTGTGCAGCCTTACACTGGCAGGGCAGGATGAGCAGCTTCTATCAAGCTGTTGGTAGACGTGGACAGCAAGCTTAGTAAGCAGAACAGCTTTTGCCTTAAGCAGTTAACTGTCACGCATAAACTGGACATGATGAAATCTTATAACAGGCTAAAAAACATTGAAGGGATTTCTTTTTTTTTTTTTTTTGTAGGGCACTCATATTTATCATTTGCTTAGGTGTCTTGCTGGTAATTTCCACAGCAACTTCACTATGGCCTTTTAAGGCCACACTCCTCTGAGTGTCAGCCAAGTAGGAATCTTCAGGAGACACCTGGGAAGGCAGAGGCTGGCTGAAGTGGCTTTGAGAGGAAGACCACCCGGGCAGCCCCTGCCCAGGCCTTACTGGGTAAGCAAGGAAATGCTGCCCATCAATGCTGCCATTTGGTAGCTGCTTTTGCAGTGAGCATGCTTCCAAGCCCAGCAATGAATTTTTTCACCTTCCCATCCCCCTCCAATGGTTTACTTTCAGCATTAAGTGAGCTGCATTCACTGGTACTCATACCTCTTCCTCTACCTTTAGCGGGTAACGCAAAAACCTAAAGCACTGCTTTAAACAAAACAGCAAAGCAGCTGCGTACAAAAGCTTCCCTGTCTACCTATAGCTTGGGAAGTCAAATGGGAAAGTATCATTTAAGACATCTGATACCTAACAAGCCTCCAGCTATCAATAATCACAACAAAATATTCCTTGCTGTCAGAACAAAGAGGCAGTAGTACTGCAATACTGCTTCCAACTCCTTCTGTAGGATGCCTTTTTAATGGCCTCCCTCTATGCTGCGTAACTTTGAGCTAGTTATTTTCTAGCCGCCCTGGTTTTGCCCGGTGTTCCAGCAAAGGAGCCGAGGACTTGATGCCCCATCCTTTCCCTGCAAAGACAGGCCAGGCCCCTCTGATCAGTGGTGACCTGCTCATGAAAAGCCAAGTGTGAGTATGCACATGCACGTTCAATAACACAAATAGAAGCACATAGGATCTTCCTGCCTACAACACATGTGGGTACTGAGCACATGCAGGCTTTACTGGACTCGCCCAGCATTACAGCCCGGTACTCCGCTCATTTTAGTGACAATACGCTCTATGTAGTTGCTCTGTAGCAAAACCTAGTCACAAACTGTACTTTTAATCAATGTGATGCATTCACTCTTTGCTTCTCTCACACACATCCTTCCAGTAATGGATTCCATCCGCACTGGTGCCAGAAGCAGAGCAAACAGTATCCCCACAGTACAAACAAGTTCAGAGGCTCCAAATGAAAAGCCCCAATGAAACGTAAAAGATAGGACATACATGCAGTGCAATATCTCACTGTCATTAAAAGCCAATTAGAACATACTTGCCGGCATTGACCCAATGCCAGCAATCAAAGTTTCCAACCTAGGTGGAAACCTACTACATTAAATAAGCGCAACAACTCAGCACGTAGGAGTAATTTCTCAAAGATCCCATATCCTACTTTGCTGCCTTTTTTCCCACCCAAAACGTAGTTTGAATTCTGAGTAGCAGCGTGTCCCTCTCACACACATGCTTCTTGCAGAGAGGCCAAACAACACTCATCATTTCGTCCTGCAAAGCCTCTCAGCAGCTTTCCCCTGTTGTGGGGATCACACCGTATTTCTCTGCAAGACCAAGCCCACAGGAGTGACTGACCAATATTTGCAAATGGAAGATTTTTTCACCATATAGATTCAAATCCATCAACATCTACTAAGTCATTTTCTTCCCGCTCACAAATACACTCTTAGGAAAACACATAGCAGAATTAAGACAGATGTCTGCTTGCAAGACACCCATCTGTCACTTCTAAAAACCTAAAAAATACCAAAACTACGGCACGTCTAAAATACCATTCCTAAAGCATGCACACACGTCTGCTAAATGCAATTCATTAGCTACCGACTGCTGTGTCAGGCTGCTGCCCATAGAGCAAGAGGAAACAGCAAACACTAGCAAGGTCTGTAAAGCCAGCCCTGAGCACGTGCTCCTAGCAAGAGTCGGAACAGAAGAAACTGAAGAAGTTTTGCTGCAGCTGAAATAGCTCAGGTCTTCAGAGACACAAAAGAAATGGCAAATACCAGCAGAAGAAGGCAACCATTATCAGAGAGTAACTAATGCTCTGTGTTTGAGGCTGCTCTAAGGGCCAGTAAAAATATGCCGTAAAATTACTGAAGCGGAATTTCTCTAGGCTGCAAATACCTGTAGTATCACAAAGACAAAGCTGTGTTGTCCTCCACTTGAGAATTACTTAGTCTTGCATGTGTAAGGAAAGAAAGTCAAAATCACAGCTCAAGGGACACATTAGATTCTAGATAAGAGGAATTTCCAGATGAAAGTAGCCAAAGTATAATTTCAAAACAAAAAGTAAATCAAACCAAACTCACTAGGCTTAGCCACAAGATTTGACAGTAAAAAAAAGTTCATTTTTAGACACGTCACAGAGGATTTCTTTCCTCTTAGGTACCTTAAAGCCCAGTGGCACAAAAAGCAATGTCAGATTTCCTAGACAACAAAAATGCATCACAAAAATGTTCAAAACATAAGCTGTGAAGGTCTTGTACTCTAACCTTGTCTCTCAAACACATACTTTGATATCCATTGTTATCTCTTAGAGCATAGGCAACTTCTAAACAACATGAAGTGTTTGTTAGGAGAAGGAGTCAGTTGCTGTGGGAAGCTGACATCAAAGGCATACTGCTTTCAGGCAGGAAGGAGAGGCTGATGCAACTTAGAAAATTTTTAAAAAATCTCAACTTTGCATGTATGTGTTTGCAGCACCCAAAATAACTCTGCTCACAGGCCAAATGATTGCTTTCTTCTGATACTCCTTTGTTTCCTGCCCCTTCCCCTCTTAACCAAGTCATCTGCAGCCCATTAAATTCATCTGTTCTTCCTTTGATGTTATTTGTGAGGCACTCCAAACACTGATCACATCCTCACCTCTCATGGCTTAACGATATGTACGCAGGTACCGGCACCATCACTTGGAGACTGTCCTGTTCTCTCTCACGTGCGTGTAAACATACGAGTTGTAGTTCTGCTACTCCGACATGCTTCACTTCGTGCCAGTTTCTTCCTAGAAAGGTTCATCATCGATGAGAAGGACCAGAACACAAAACACTAGTTTTAATCCTTCAAATATCAAAGTTGGTATTTATTGTCTTCGGTTCTGTTTTCCCTCCCTCTCCTCACAGGGCACTTCCCACCAGAGACAACTAACCCAGTCAACTGTAAAGCTCCCCTTCTGAGAAACAATTCTGTTAAAGAAACCCACAGGAGAAATACCAGCCTGCTGACTCCAGAGCTGCACTGACTGATGGTGAACAGGGATCTGTCTGACAAAGCTTTGTTTCAGAAAGGTAAAAAGAAGACAAAAACCACATAGCTTTAGTCATCTGGAGCATAAAACTGTAATCCAAATTTGGACTTGATCAGTAACCTAAACTGTGAAGGAGCAGGTGCTGAAAGCATGATTTTTGATGATACACAGTTCTTCCTTTCTGCCTGAAGGGATAAGGCTGAAAGTTTTTGTTGCGGAACTACAGGAGGCTTCTCTGAAAGCCTATTAAGGCATTTTCTTCAGAGGTGTAACAAAAACAGACACAGTGCTTTCTGGCCTGTAAAATCCCTCCCTTCCCTGACCTTGAGAACCACCAGTCTCCAAGAGAAACCAAAGCATTTCTATTTGGCTGGCTGCCTGCCTACGCACAGTCCCCTTTCAATAAAACAAACATGGGAGAATTGCAGGCAGAAATTTATCTATCACGTAACTCTGCTCCGCTCTTACAAGACACGTGAAGACTACACTGCATTCATTGTAAATATTGCCACCAGACTTCCAAATTGTCTTTTTTCCTCTAGGAATCCTTGTCCTTTCCAGAAAACAGCATCCTACTCAGGCCAGCACACAGCACCCATTTGCTAAGTGGTAACGTTAGTGAAACACTATGATTTAGGGACTTTGACATTAATCTACAAATGAGGACTCTACTACCAGCACAAACATAGAACTTGTAACTTCACCCTTCTATGTCCCTTCCCCTGCTCCTCTTTTGTTTTTTTCCCATGCCGAGTGTCTTTGCCCTGGAATGCCTGCAACTGCACAAAATGGTCCCTCATCTTCACAGAGGCTCCAGGCAGGCACAGGATAGAAATCTTCAGCACCAAAATACCCTCTGTTTCTTAGGTAACCATGGCTGTATTAAGTTTCTAAAAGAACACCAGGGACTTTTGTAGGAAAGGTCCTGCTACCGCACAAACTTTAACAGCGCCCAAAGGCGAATACATGTGTTGGGGTACCGATCCAGTTACTTCACTGCATTACCTTCTAGGAGGTCCAGGTATACCACAAACGCAGCGTAGATCTGGGCACTGTCAGATATATCAAGAGACATCATTTCTGTGAACTGGAACCCAAAACGTAACATCGGTCAAGGAAAGCAGAAGTTACGTTAAGAACACACAGACCAAACCCAGAATCTGAACAGCTAGCTAGGCCGCTGAAGCCTGAGACCAGTTTTAAGGACTAACAGGCAATTAAAAAACAGGAGTTGCTTTCTGACAGTATCTTAAGAGCTCTTTTTTCCACATTCCCCCTATTTTGGTGCTTAAGAAAGCAAGCCAAATACACAAACAAACGAGAAATCGCGCCTATTTCTGGAACAGCTCGCGCCTTGTGGCTGGGAATTTTACCTATTTTTGCTGCAGTACGTCAACATAAGATGACAGCCAAATTAAATACCTCCACGTTTTCAGTAGACTAAAAAATGAAGACGGAGTCAAAGCCTCAGACACC